AATGAATCAGAGTTCAGAACAAATTTGATGGCTGTATAGTTTCAGTACTAAGCGCTCTGAGTTACCTTCCCTTTCGTCAATTTGAACAGATTCTGGTCAGAGACTTGGTTTAGTCTTCTAAAAAATTTTCCAAGAATAATATGAACTATATTTTTTGATTCATCAATTTTTCTCATTTTAATTGTAACATCAAGAAAACTGTTTTGAAAGAGATAAAATCAATTTCAATGATAGATTAACTAATTTTCTCGTCAAAACCCATTTCAAGGCTTACTAAGTCTGCGAAAGAAGAAAAAAAAGTCGGCACAAAAATTGTCTGCTAGTTTAAAGTACTCGCATACTTCTTGTCTTGAAAACGTCTAGACAAAGGATTAAACTAAGTAGCTTCAAAGGCAAGAACTTCTATAATTCTGTTTTTTGATTGATTGCAGAATCGTTTAGATTTTTCGGAAAATTTTTTTTCGGTAATATTCTGTTTTACAACCAAAAATTCCCTATATGCGTTTGATTTACTTAGACCAGGATGATGGCTAGTGATTTGAACGCTGATTCTTTTTTTATTTAAATACAGAATTCAATTCAAAACGGTTAGCTTCTCTTGAATTTTTATCAGAGCTTCTTTATCCGAAAAAGTACAGTTAAACATTAAAAAATTTTGAACTTAGAAACAAAATAGATACACTAATCAATATAAGAAGCCAAAAAGTTAAACAATTTTATAAAATAACCAAAAAATGAGGCTGTGAAGATCGTGGCAAGAGAATTGAGGCATCGTGAGATTGACAACCTTGAAGAAAAAATTAAAAATTAAATCTCACTAAAAGCTAAAACTATTCGACAGAACACCCCAAGAATCATAACTAGTGAGTCATAAGTGTATCTACTACCATCTACACATCGCCATTTGATTTTTTTTTCTGTTTGTTTTTGAATAAAAAATGAGTTTCGTTTCAAATTGAAAAATCTTTTGTTTAATTCAGGTTGAACACAAGTTATTAAGTCGTACAAATTGTTCTTTACGATGCCAAACTGTGCACTAGATAGGCGCACAATTTTGTGTCTACATGTTCTTGGATTCCATAGACAATCTTTAAACCCATTCCAAAATGTCAATCGATTACACTAACAAACTTTCTGTGAATTCGGCGTACAAATACTTGAGACGTATTTTTTCCCCACAATTGTTGAGTGACGGATTCAGCAACAAGTGAATTTAGCTAGTTGTTCTGAATTTCCCAACTGTAAGCGGATTCTGCAAAATGTTAGTCGAATCCGCAAATGTAAGTGGAAACCGGAAAACCTGTACTGGAATCCGCAAAGGTAAGCGAATTCCGCAATTTATTAGTAGATTCCACATATTTATTATTACTGAATTTACATATGAATAAGTGAAAGCTATAACTGGAATTGTTTTTTATAGCCATTCGGAATTAAAATGGACTTAACCATTGTCATCCTACGAACAAATCTTAGGACATTGTTTTTATAAATTAATGGATGACACTCTTTTAGCACTCGAGATACACAAACCAGCAAGCAGTTTTTGGGATCATAACCAGTTTTGGGGATGAGTCGAGCAGTTTTTGAGATGAGTCGAGTGTGAAACCAAATCATGAGGGTAGCATTCGAGATTAGATGAAAGCATATCGAGTGAACACCCTGGGTACTACTATGATAGTGTGGTCATAAAAAGCAATTATTTTAAACAGGCCCCGCATGCGTAAGGCATGAAATAATTTAAAAACTAATTTGTCGAGTCAGAAAGACTTTAGATTAAAAATTGTAATAATTATATTGTTTATGTCAAGAAATTTCCTCGAATCAACTTACTTTACGACTTAACAACCATATTTGGTTTCAGTTATTCGTCATTAAAAGTTTGGCGTTCTCTCAAATTATCCACCTTAAAGAACGGCGAGGAAAACGAACAAAAGATTTAGTTGAAAATATGATGCAAAATGTTTCAGAATGGCTAACTCATAGTTATTAAATGAACTTAGAGCTCTTAATTGCCTAATCTCAATAGAATTGGTTATTTTAAAGTGACAACTCTATCATACTGGTACCCTTTTTGTGGAGAAAACAACTTATAACACCAAATGTCATTTTAAATATTATATTTGCCGAAAAATTAAGGATGGAAAAATCAAAATCTAAACTAAGTTCAACGAAAACAATTCAATGGAGATGGAGTTTGAACCCAATCATGGAGATTGTATTAGTCCAAAGCCTTAACCACTCGGGCACCCTGTCTTAAAAACACCATACAAGTAACACTGACCGAACAAATTTTTTGATAAGATTGATTCAGTGACTTTTTAAACTGGCTAATAACAATTAGCTAATGTGTTTGATGAGTTAAATACTGGATGCGGCGAAAAAAGACAAACGCAGAATGTCGAAATGAAACTGATGACTTCGGAAAAAATCTCTGAAACTGGACAAGTTAGACGGATATCGGTCTAAATAGGATAGAAGGACCTGCTCGTGGGATCTATAGTAAAGAAAAACGATTTTTATTGTCGAAACACATTTTTTCATCATTGAAACTTATTTTAATTTTGAGATTAGTGTATAACCTCATAAAGGTCTTAGAAAATTTTTGTCCCGTCATATAAAATAGTTCAATCTTGCTCAAAAACTGCTAGTGTTTCTAATGGAAAACTTACGAGATCTATGTCCAAAAAACTACCTTTTTTGATGTCAAAACAAAATTTTTTAAGCTTAAACTATTATTTTCATGGTGTTTTTTTTGCTGTTTGCTCTGGGTTTAGTTCGCTCCGCGTTTTTTCTGCATTCTTACAAGGCTACACGTTTGATTTTCAGGGTTTGCTTTAGGTAGCTTTTTGCCTTTAAAGAAGAAATGGTAGGGTCGGTTTTTCGAAAAGAATAGAAAAATTCATTACTTGGAGTGTAGGGAAAACGAGGTCAATTTGGGCCTATTTTGTGTGATTTTTGATTTTTGATTTTTAACATATTTCGATGACAAAAAAACGTAAACAAACACAAAACAGTCTTTTGAGAACAGGTCAATTAATAAACTTGGTAGTTGATATATTCAATTTTTTGATACGTGGTTTTTTTGTCATTGTCCCCAATTTTTTTTGAAATCATTTTTCAAAGTCATGAAAAAATCAGCTGTGAAGGATAAAATGTTTGCATAGGTAATAAGGACACATAACTCCTTCAGTCATGTAGAAATTGGGCTTTACTGGGTCGGTCACACGTTTATTTGAACAGATATAGGCCGGGAAAAAAATTTGAAGTATTCAAAGTTTGTTAACTTTTTTTCATAAATCAACTTACTGCTTGAAAATATCAGTTTTGTTGACGTAAAACGTTTATTTGTTTTCTAAAAATTCGTAGTTTTGAGTCAGCATAAAGTTTACGCATGGGCTTGACTGTGTTTTGATATGATGGTCGTTGCGTTCGAAACTACTTTTTACGCTCTTGTTTTCTTGATTAACTTGGCTCTTTGCTATATATTATAGAGATTCCAGCCTAAGAGTATGCGGGCTTGCCAATGCACTAATTGAATGTGCCATTTGGGTTTTCCGTACTTGAAATTTTTGCGATTTCGTATGGGCAAAAGTGTAATTTTTTCTGTTTTTGTGTCTAAATATAATTATGGCTACTGGTAAGATTTGTTTCCATGTCTGATTTTAAACTTAATTAGGAGGTAGCTGTTATCTGGATAGCGTCATGGAGCACATAGTCTCTGAGTTAGATCAGACTTGCCTTTAAGATCTCCGGCAGTAAAGAGGTGCGTTGGCTTGATGAGGAGAAACACAGAAATTGAAATCGAATGTATTGAGATCGAAGTAGGGTGTTTGACAACAATTAAGACAAAATTGGGTGTTTGACAGGAATTGAGGTCGATTTTAGAAGTAAGAATTGAGATCGATCGTTTCGATCAAAATACTAATTGAGATCGGACTTGCTGGTGACCACTTAGTAAAAAACGGGTATAATCTAAAACGGTACTACATATATAGATAAACGCAAACAAACTGCGGGTTCCACTTACAGTCGGGGATTCTGCAATAGCTCGTTTTAACTATACATACGTCGTTTTGTTTGCTTGTGGATTCCAAAGTTATTCCAGATTCCGCAAATACTGTTGCTGTATCCGCAACTTGCCTTTTTCTAGAGCGATTTTGAGCGGTACATGGTTTTAAGTATTTGTTTGTGGAATCCAAAACAGCAAACAGTATAAGTGAAATGTTGCGGATTCAGCGACAAATCTGATTTCGGTCTGTTGCGGAATCATCCGCTTGCAATGCACAAAAGACACAGTTTAGCTTCGCATAAACTTATCCTGCAGCAAATGATTTCCGATTTTGACAATGCGTAGGATTTCTTGACAATCTTCTGCGCTCCTGGAAAGTTGAAACGTTTTTGTCCATTTTGGAGCTGGGATAAAAGTTTTTTAACGAACGCACGCAGTGCTTTGGATGTATGCTCAGTTTCAAACTTGAGTCAAATAGATCTGCGTGACATTATTATCATACATTTATTTTCCTACGAGAAAATCAGCTTTTTCAGTTTTACGACACAGCGTGTGATCTAGAGATAATGCCTTATACCACGAGCCAGTACATTTCTAATGAAAGTAAAACGAAAAATCGAAATGAAACCTATAATCTGTAAAATAATGATACTCATCTTGGAAAAAGAAAAAAACTATAGAAGGGATTAATTTAACAAATAAAAAAATAGATTAAGAATCTCTTAATTCAAAAAAGTGATCTAGATAGATATGCAAAATAATTTTAATAAAAGAAATTTAGAAAACTGATTTTCAAGCAAAACAATCTCAAAAGAGCAATGCCAATGTTTTTTGATCAATAAAGTTTTCAAGTGAAATACATTTTTTGAACGCATTGAAAAGAAATGCGTCGTTTCGATTAAACTCCGAGTAAATTCGAGTAAATTTTTTTATTTTTCAATTTTACAGGCAAAACAAAAATAACGGAATAAAAAAATCGTGACAATTTTACCGGTAAAGATTGAGTGTTGAACCAAAAACAAGGAACAGAATGATTTTTTCTAAGTGTTGTTCTTTCTAATATTGAAATTTCTTTAATTAATGAGTTTGTTTCCTATGTATAAAGTTGGTTTTCAAAGCTCGCAGATTCATCCGGTTAAATTTTTATGCTGCATTTGCCTTAAACTTCAATTTAATTTTAAAAATTTTATGGAAATCACAGCATCAAAAATAATTTTTCCCTGCGGAAGCGACAATTTGTTTCCAGGCGAATCATCGACAAAACTTTTTTGCTTTCAAGATTTACATATTTCATTCCATCTACTCGTTTTCAAGCCGACGCATGCAGCGAGCTGATGCTGTATCAAACTAAACAAAACTGCTGATGTCACAACCTTTTCAGCGTTTTGTCGGTGGTTTCTATTATCAAAATTTGACAAATAAATATACGGAAGAAAATGCAGAAATTAAAAGAATTATGATTCAAACGCGTTAAAATCGTAATTTAGGAAAATATATATATATTATACCTAGGTCGTCTGGTTGTTGGATGTGTTATTAAGAGTTTATTCTTCCGACTTTCCTAACGAAAGTAACGAAATTTAAGCTCGGGTGGGTTTTTTCTTCAGACAAAATTCGACTTTTTAACTAGCCATTTTTAACGGAATAATTTTAAAAATCAATAGGAAAGTATTGTTGTCCTGGGCATTAACTTACAAAGATATTTCACGTGTGATCATTTTGTGCGTAATGTTATGGTGGTTTAAAGATTGCCATTTTGGCCAAATTGTGACAATTAACGCGCGATATATTTTGCGCGATTAACGCCTCAGCGGAGATTAAATCCGTCTTAAAAGTTTTGGCCTGTTTTTTCCAAAAATTTGACTGTGGCGCAGAAATTTTTGTCAAAACAGAGTGTTTTTAGTGCTTTAGAAGAGCTCGGAAAATCAATTTGGTTGACCTAAAAAGTTCCGCAAAACTTTCGACAACTTTTCGAAAATCCACCCGAAGCCCCTCCACTCGAAAAAATCCTAGAGCCACCCCTGATAGTCTTCGTCTGAATTTTTGCCGCTTGCAGATTAGCCGGCCATCTTGTTTGCTTTTTGTTTAACCGGCAATTGGTCTCATCGACTTTTGAAAAACTGTTTGTTACTTAGCCAATATTACTGTTTTTTTAAAGGTTGGTTATTATGGTTGCTTACGTGGAAAAACTTAGTTATGCCAGTAGCAAGTTTATTGTAATTGTGATAATGAACTTGATTCTGACCAGATCGATTTTGGTTTTTGCTTTCTCGTTCAAATAACTACTTAATTTTTTTACTTGCGTCAATGTACTTGATCACAAAACAGTTTTCGATTTCAACTTTTCTTGTTACATGTCAAAATCAAGTCTTGTTCTGATAACCAAATCAAGATATCCACGGTACAAAAAACTGAAAATGAGGGATACATGAAAGCATGAAACAAAAAACTATCTGAGGCGAATATAGTCTATAAGCAGTGCTGACAACTTTTCAGCATCAAACATTCAACGCATACGGAGCATTTTTCAGGTCTTTTTTTATTTAAAAGACTCTTAATTAAACTTAAAATTCAACGACATCGTTTATTTTTATAGCTTAGTATTTCACAAGAAAATAAATTTAGGACTCTTCGCATCAGGGCTAAATTTCGAACGTTCCGACTAAGTTTGGAACGTTCCGATTGTTAAAATTTCCAAAAATTGATTTTAATTTTAACCGCCCCCACACCTCACGCATAAGCTTGACATATTTTGACACCGTTAACGTATAAATAAGAAAAATTTGGATATTTTTAGTTTGCAGGTTACGCTTAAAGGCTCGCATTATTTATCGCGCTTGCTTGGTCAGAATGGAAATTCTTGAACCTACAAAAAAGATAACTAGTGAAATATCTTTTGAAACTTCAGTTTAAGGCAACAGTATGTTTCAGGTGATAAGAAAAATTTTTTCAAAAATGGCAGTTAAAAAAAACTAAATTGGTCAGAAGAAAAACAAAAAACCACACCGAGCAAAAAATTCCGTCATATAAAGTCGGACCAAAAACGTTTTTGTAACATTGAACTAAACCATTTCCCATGAAACAAAATTAGAACGCTTAAAATTAAAACATCCTAATCAAGTGTTCATGAGCCAGGAATTATTTGCTTAGAAAACTTTCTTACGATACTTCAATTGTAACGGTTCAAATTCTGATTCTAAAAAAATTACACGTTTCAACGTTACAAAACGCTTTTTTGTTAACTAAGTACCTATGGAATACAAATGAAAATGTTGGATTGAAGGAATTTTGTCTTTCTGTTTCATATATTCTTCTATTCGTTGCCATGAGCTATTGACATTTTCAACAGCAGTTGAAAACTGTATTCCTTCTTTAACACATATTGTTCCAATTTTCGTTAAAAAATAACCGAATGCTTAAGCTCGAGTTGGTTTCTTTTTCTTCCGACAAATTTCGACTTTTTAACTAGCCATTTCTGACAGAATTTGCTATATCATTCAAAAGCTATTGTTATACTTACCTTAAACTTAAAAAGGTATTGCTATTTCACCTGTGATCTTTTTTCCTGAACTTATGGTGGTTAAAAATTGCCATTTTGGCCGTTTTGGGGCTGAAGCTTATTTGCCCTAATTGGTTGAAGGAAGCTTATTTGCCGTAATTGATTTGTTACTAGGAGTGAAATCCAATACTTTGTACTTTATATGGCGTAAGGTGGATAGTTTTCACAAAAAAAAATATATTGAAAAAATAATCATTTTGTTTTTAGTACATTCATTTTTTTATGTTATTACCGCTCCATAGACCAAAAGGCAGTCGAAACATTATGCGAGAAGTTTTGTTCCTTTTGGCTTTACGATGATAAAGATAATCAGGATTGAAATGTGCAACCCAAGCAAAATTAATCGTAACACTGACCAATTAACTTAAAAACATAAAACACTGATACAGGGCTTCAAGATTTTAAAGTTAATGGCATTTATTTGAATTAAAACTTGCAATTCAAACTTCTCAACCTGGATATTCAGTTGATCTGAGCAACAGTATCACTATTATGCCAACAAACTATTTATACCGTCAGTTTATAAACAGAAATTTTATTATTGTTCCGAGTTTCATAACGGAATATTTGAGCTCAAGGTGTTCTTTTTTCTTCTGACAAAATTCGACTTCTCAACTAGCCATTTTTGACGGACGTTTTTTATATCAATCAAAAAGTATTGTTGTCGTGGAGTTTAACTTGAAACAATATTTCACCCATGATCAGTTTTTGTAATGTAATGGGGGTTTGAGAATTGTCATTTTGGCCCATTTGTGATAATTAACGCGCGATGTATTTCGCGCTATTAAACGCGTAAGTGGAGATTTAATCCGTCTTAGAAATCGTTCCAAATTGGTTGACCGACGTTTTATTTGCCATTCATGATTTGCTATTATCACTTTGTACTTTATATGGCGTGTGGGGAATGATTTTCACGAAAAACTCAAACTAAAGGATATTAAAATTTTTTCTATTACATTTATTTTTTTTTGTGTTACTACTGCTACATAGACCTTTGAAAAGGCAGTTGGAGTTTTCAGGACCTAGCCCTGATACAGGGGCTTTGCAGTCGGAACATTCAGGGCTTCGCCTATATAGGGCTTTGCCCTGATACGAGCATTGTTTTTCTGAAAATGCCACTCATTGTTTTCCTGTTCACGCAGCGCTTCGTGACAATTCTTTTTCGTCGCAATGAAACGCCATCGCAATGAACCAGTTTGTTGAAAAATTTTTGTTTGCCGTCTTGTAATCCAATTTTTGCCGTGAAAGAAAACAAGACTGCTCGTATCAAGATGAATACTTTAGGGTCTATCGGGCAGTAAAATATGAAAAAATTAAATGAAAAAAAAAAAAAATTTTTAATGTTTCAAATGTGAGATTTTTGCGAAAAAAAATTCCCCCACACGCCATATCAAGTACAAAGTGATAAAATTTGCTAATAGTAAAAAATCAATTATGGCAAATAAACTTTCTTCAACAAGTTTGGAACGCCGTCTAAGACGGATTAAATCTCAGCTTACGCGTTTAATAGTGCGAAATATATCGCGCGTTTATTTTACCGAATTGGCCAAAAAGGTTATCTTTAAATCCCCATAACTTTACAAAAATTGATCAAGGGTAAAATACTTTTTTAAGTTAAAGTCCAGGTCAAAAAAATTTTTTGATTAATATAAAAAAGCTTCTGTCAAAATTGAATATATAAAAAGTCGAATTTTGTCGAAAGAAAAAAACCACACCGATCACAAGTATCCGTGATTTTTGTTACAACAATCGGAACAGCAAGCAAATTTTCGATTATAAACTGACAATATAAATAATTTGAAGGCATAATTGTGATACTGTTCATCAGATCAACTGAATACCCTGAAGTTTGAATTGCAATTTTGAATTCTAATTGAATTCCATTCACTTTGGAAGCTCAATTGCAATATCTATTTTTCAATCCTTCTGACAAGGTTTTCAGTTTTTCTTTCATACAGACATACAGAAAAAAACTAAGCCGAAAAAAATTGGCTAAATGAATTTTTTTATTACCAAACCAAAAAATGTACAGCCATGAATAAATTCAAACCATTCCGTTTGTAATTGGCTTGTCAAGAGTCAAGGTTTTTTTTAGTTCTGGTTTGTTTCAAGCGTGATTGTATCAAAAAAAATAAAAAAGCTTGACTAGATTTTATTTCGACAAACAACGGAAAAATAGAAGTGCTTCCGCTATATAGCCACAGGGTGAAGTTAGGTCCCACTTATTGATTTTGTTCCACAAATGATTCGTCGTCTGATAAGCTTGTGTCTACCCAATGTATATCAGTGGCAGTCTTCAAAAGCTAGTGAATTCGTGGAAAACTCCCGGTCAAAAGTTACTGAGGTGCCGTTGAAGGAAAACGGAATCGGCGTCAGTGGCTCATTGTTTTCTGGGTAATCTGTTAAAATTATAAAGAGTCTCGACCTCAGTTTCGTTTCCTTCTTGATTAAAATTGGCCGAAAAACGTCAAGCATCAGTTTTCGTGATCCTAGAATGACGAGGATTGTTTTTTGGCAATATGCAGCGAGCGTTCTCAAT